ATTTTGAAAATTTAATGCTAATGTTTCTTCTGCTTCCCTCCCGCCCTGCATACGCTCCCCCCATAAACTGTGCCAACTCAAACCTACATAAGTGAACAGGAGATATAAGCTGTATATAAATGTATTGAATATGTAAGTAATTTAAAAAGTGTCAGATAGGTATATTAATAATAATATAATCAATTATTTTTCCACTGACCACCTATATATGCTTCCCAATAGAGAAGCTGTTTGGTACTACTATGAACTTCTTTTTAAATCTCCAGATCTATTATAATCCAAAGAAGAACTAAACAGATCATTATGAACACTGTCTTTGAAACAGAGGACCCTCAATAATGTTGAACGTGAGACAACCACTTGGTGTTTTTAGCCCTACAGCATAATGTTGCTCAAACACCCTTCCTCTGATATGTTGTTTTCCCCAAGAGGCAGTCAGTCCCTTTCACTGATGTCTAGGTACATAAACTTGTCACTATTGCCATTCACTCAAGTTCACCCACAGCACTGGGAATCTAACTACATGTAGCCCAGTTCAGAGCTTGATATTTCAACAGGGCTACATACAATTCCCTGAAGCTAAGCACTCATTATCCTCTTTGTGTAAGCATATATGGCAGAAAAATGTCATTTATTACTAAAATATTATTCCTAATAGACAAAATTTTAAGAAGTAAACTGACAATTTTGTATAAAATAATCTGATGCATTTTAACATCTTTTTTTTTTAAATTACAAGTGTGCGTTCAGAGTGAGACATACATATATTACCATTCTAAACTAGCAACAAAGTGTGATACTGTAGGGGAAAATGTGTTAAGCAGTTTTCATATGTATCACACTACTATTTTGAAACATTTTATTCTAATTATAAACTGCATGGCTCCAACACAAAACTTTGCTAATTTCCAATGCAAAAAATGCAAGGGAGTACACAATTAATATAATTTTCTTTATAAAAAAGTTTAAATTTTATGACAAATTTTCCCCGTAAGGAAGAACCAAGTATTGTATTAAAGTCTACTGAAACTGACAAAAGTAGCTGTAGTTTAAGATACAAACAGCACATTCATGTTCTTCAGTAATGGAAATATGTTAAAGAATAGAACGTCTAAATATAACTTCAGATAGAACCTGTAGAAAAACAATGACGCACAAAAATTACAAGAAAATCATTTTAGTTAGATGACAACAGAGAACAACCCCACCTTATTTTTGTAACAACAAGTCCTACAAAGTTAGCCAGACTTCTAAACTCCATAACTATTCCTATTAGTTCACTTAACAGTAGTTTAGGATTTTAATGGGCATGTTTTACAAGTAACAAAAAACCTGATAGGTAAATAAATCCATGTTTTACCCAATCCTCAAACAATAAATTAAAAGAAAGCTTCACCATAAGGTACCACTACACTGAACAATTTGTGAGAGCCTAAGCCTGTTATCATTGCAGTCAATGGGAAAATCTTCAATGGGAGCAGGATCGGGCCCTAAATTAACCCTACTTCTTAGGTTTTAAAAAGTGACAGCCAAATGGATGGACACTACATCCAAACTGAGTTGGTAAAAAAATGGTTTCCATATACAACTGAAGACATCACTCTTTTTCAAGTCTGTTATGATATGGAGACAGATTAACTCAGTCCTTCCTCTGCATTTTCATACATTAAATTATATATTTTTTCTTAAATGCCTTGCCCATAGTAATAATGAACTAACTACAGCAATATACAAAATAGATTTAACTAGTGAACACTTTCTATTTTACAAATGACTGAAGAATTTAAAAACGTCTGAGATTAACAATACTAAAATTTCATGTCCAGTGACACACTAATTTTCTTGTGATAGAACAAACATATTCAAATACACCTTGATTATGTATGTCACTCTGCATAAAATCTGAATGAAGTGATTCATTAAAGACCTTGACAATTTTATCTTTTGGATAAATCCTAACTCTTGAGAAGACAAAATGCCTGATCCTTAAAGGTATTGAGCTCTTGCAAATTCCAGTAACTTCAAGGAGAGCTGTAGGTATTCTAGACTTCTCAGGATCAGGCCATTAGGCAGGGCTTTTATAGCAAAGGAGCAAGTGCCCTGGGCCATATGTGATTTTAACAACACAAAATCTACAAAACTAAAACTAGCATGATATTGAATAGAGATTCACCATAAATACTGTGTTTAAACAGTAATTGGAGTTTAGCAACAGAGCTGTTTACAAGCTTCCATGTATACTTCTAATATTGTGTGCTTTATTTTGTAACTGTTTATGCACTTAGATTCATAGATATTTAGGCCAGAAGGGACCATTATGATCATCTAGTCTGACCTCCTGCACAATGCAGGCCACAGAATTTCACCCACCACTCCTAAAAAAGACCTCACACCTATATCTGTGCTATTGAAGTCCTCAAATTGTAGTTTGAAGACCTCAAGGAGCAGAGAATCCTCCAGCAAGTGACCTGTGCCCCATGCTACAGAGGAAGGCGAAAAACCTCCAGGGCCTTCCAATCTGCCCTGGAGGAAAATTCCTTCCCGACCCCAAATATGGCGATCAGCTAAACCCTGAGCATATGGGCAAGATTCATCAGCCAGATACTACAGAAAATTCTTTCCCGGGTAACTTGGATCTTACCCCATCTAAAAACCCATCACAGGCCATTGGGCCTATTTACCATGAACATTTAATTACCAAAACCATGTTATCCCATCATACCATCTCCTCCATAAACTTATCGAGTTTAATCTTAAAGCAAGATAGATCTTTTGCCCCCACTACTTCCCTCGGAAGGCTATTCCAAAACTTCACTCCTCTGATGGTTAGAAACCTTCGTCTAATTTCTAATCTAAATTTCCTAGTGGCCAGTTTATATCCATTTGTTCTTGTGTCCACATTGGTATTGAGTTTAAATAATTCCTCTCCCTCTCTGGTATTTATCCCTCTGATATATTTATAGAGAGCAATCATATCTCCCCTCAACCTTCTTTTAGTTAGGCTAAACAAGCCAAGCTCCCTGAGTCTCCTTTCATAAGACAAGTTTTCCATTCCTCCGGATCACTTGTCTGGTTTTCCTCTTTTTCTCACACCATTGAATACCTCCTATACAAAGCACTTAAGTATTTTACTTTTCCCCACGCTATCATGGACATTAAGAATGACACAATCAACCAAAGACATAGCCATACAATCTCTTCACTACAACTTGACATTTGTGGCCAAAAACCCCAAAGCAAACTTGTGTAAAATATTTTAATTAGGCTAACAAGAAAAAGAAATGATCAAAGATGTCTTCTTATTAGCATAACAAAAATATTTCCATGACTGATCATTTTTTGCTGAACATCATCCATATATAGCATGTGGAAAGATAGGTTATTTTAAAATTACATGTACTAGACAGGTACGATAAATGTATTCTACTGCCATCAAAACAAGAAGTATTGCACTCATTATAAAAATCCATACTATGAAGGCCTCTAACTACAGGTAGTAGCAATCTTTTTAGTTCACGTCTAAACTTTGAGATGCAAAAATGATTCAATATGTTTTTAAAATGTCCAAACAAAATGCATTTTAATGTAAAGTAGACCTATTTGATCTTCTATGCAAATTCATAGTTTTACACATCAGAAAATTTAATATAACAGTATTTGAACTATGAATACTTTAAGCTGTTTATCATGATATGCCCAGTTTGTTTTGTTTTTTTTAAATGTTACCAGTTCTTTAAGGAAACAGCATGCTATTTTTGATACAAATACCATGTGAAAAGTCTATGGAGAAGAGCTAGGGGGTTGTTATTTTGCTTTGTTTTGAACGGCACCTTACAAATAGCATCTCTGCAAGTTATGATTTAACACCTTATCAAAATGCAGCTAAAGTCTACACTACTCCAATTCAAACACCTAGGTAAAATAGCTGAAGGCACACAAAAACTGTAAAAATTCCTTGGGACAGATATGTTACTTGATAGCCACTAAAAAAAACCCCCAAAAACAAAAACCAACAACCGGAACAAAAAAAAAAAGTTGTTTCCCAAGACATTTAAGATAGGCTATTTTACTGCAGAAATAAGTGTCTGTTTTCAATGCTCTTATAGGAACAGTCAACTGAACAGCTGAAGAAAACAGTCTAATACAACTTCGCAATTGGAAAGTAAACCTGGCTGCAATACTTCTAATAGCTGACAAAAGTAATAACGCTCTGTATCTGTTTTGTAACTGAAAACGAGCATGTGACACCCAACGATCCGTTTATTCTGGATTGCAGTCCTATTTTCACCATTCATCCCTGCAGGATTAAAATTTTACACTGCTAGAACAAAACACTAACAATAAGGTAGCACTAAAGTTTTTCCTCTCTTCACTACTCCACTGAGACGCCAGCCGAAGAGTGGGAGCCATCACTATTAAGGTGCCAGTTATGATTTAAGAGGAGGTGTCCTGGAGCACAAGGAGCGAACATTTCAAGAGCTGTGCAGCCTTCCTGCAGCCCTGATCAATTTCTCCATCAACAATCTCCGCTGTCCCCCTCTCCCTGTATACCGTGGCTGTTTGGAAGCTGTATCGCTCATCCCATAAACACAAGTACAAATGCACCCTCCCAGTACACACATACGCTCGCTCTCCCTCACCTCACATGCAATTCTTTGTAAGTCCCCTGAGAATTGCTCAAAACCAGAAACCAAGCAAAAAGAAAGAAACAAACAGAAGGGGGGGGGGCGAGAGGGGAAGCTTTGTGCTGCTGCTGTTGCAGTTGCTCCCAAGCATGCAGGGCAAAGGAAGAGTAGCTCCCCACTTTCATCAGCCGGCTACATCCCTGGGATAAAGGAGCAAGGCGGAATGATGCTGAGGCTGCAGAAGGGAAAATAAAGGCGTTGCAAACATGCTGGGATCCCCCTGAAATCCACCCGCCCTTCTCCCTAAAGCTGCCCGAGTGGGGGGTGGAGGAAATAACACACAAGGGGGAAAAGTGATGAAAAGACACAACTCACCTTAACAAGGGGTGTTGGATGGGGTCAGAGGAGGAAGGGTTTTGGTTGGTTGGTTGGTTTTAAACAGAGGTTGTGATGTTATTAAAACACACAGACACAGGGTTTGGAAGCAGGGAGAAGAGTAGAAAAAAAACGAAGGGGGGATAAATTATCGAGAGGGTGCGAGTCAGTCTGGCAGGAAAAGGGAGAACCCCCAAGGGGGAGGAGGGGTGCGAAGAGAAAAAAACAATCAGATGCCAAATCGAGCTCGAGCGTCGGTGCCGGGGGGAAGGCTCCCGGCGAGGTGGGCGCTTGCTTGTTGCTTTCCCAGCGCCTCTCGCTGGGTGGCTGCTCCTGGGTGTATTTCCCGGGCGGGCGGGCGGGCGGCTTTGCGGGGCGGCGTTAAGGCGGCTCGCGGTGGCTTCTATCCCTGCTGCTGCCGCTGCCGCTGCGCTCCCCGGGCTCCCGCAGCTCGCTGTGGCTTTGCAGCCCAGCCGCTGCTCCTCCTGCCGCCGCTCTCGCCTGCCCCCTTCCCGCGCCCGCGCTCCCGCGCTCAGGCGCGCTCGCTGGCTCCTTCCCCAGGCTCCGCCGCCGCCGCCGCTGCTGAGCTGGCCGAGCTTCGCTGGCAGCCCTGGCCCCTCGCCCAGGCGGGCCGCGATGCACCAGCGGGAGGGGGCGTTGCCCTGCCCCGCCGGGGTGGGGCCGCGGGGCCGGGCCCTGGCTGGCAGGCAGAGGGGGCTGGGGGTGGGGGGTAAGGGAAGGGATCTAAGGGGCGTGGGGAGAGAAGGGGTGATGGAATGAGGAGGGGGACGTGAGGGGGTCCCAGTCTCTTCTTCCTGTAGTTGGTTTCGGGCTCAGGCAGCCGGCCCGCCCGCTCTTGCACAGGAGAAGGGCTAGCCCCCCCCTGCTTTGGGGGCTGACCTACCAGGGTGATGACACAGCCTCCCAAACGCCAGGGCTTTGCTTTGAGCGCTGGAGGCTGACCCCAGGAAAGCCTAGCCAGAGAGTGGTGCCAGGTTTCAGATGTGTGGGGGTTATTGGCGTGTCCACGTCTCAGGCTTGGAGGCACTGAGAGGGTGTCACTTCACTTGTTTCCATAGAGCCACTGCTGAATTGCTGGGGGTGAGAGGACAACCCGGCCTATGAAATGGAAAGGTCGTAGGGTCACCGAATTTTAGGCCAGAAGGGACCAATAGATTATCTAGTCTGAGCTCCTGTATATCACAGGTCACCAACACCACCAGCAGCTGCACACTCAACCCAGCAACCAACATTAGACTAAATAGCCCACAGGAGACTAAATTACTATGTGCCACAAGCAGAGAACAGAAGGCACCACGGTGCAGCAGTGCATGAGGCCCACTACAATGGTAGGGAAATGATTGTGATATACCCGGAGAATCCTGGCAAGTGACCTGTGCCCACACACTGCAGAGGAAGGCAAAGAACCCCCAAGGTCACTGTCAATCTCAACTGAGGGAAAATTCCTTCCCAACTGCACATATGACAATCAGTGAGACCCTGAGCATGTTAGCAAGAATAAGCCCGCCAAGCATGTGCAAGAGAAAATGCCTGGTGCCACCTCAGAACCCTGGTCCTCCCAGTCCAATGTCCCATCTCCAGCTGTGATGATCCCTGACACTTCAGAAGAAATGTATGTGCCTGAGTGCCAGTTTTAGCATTTATGGGATCTGAATGTCCCTTTAAGGCATCTTGATTTGAAATCTGAGCTCCCCTTGTACTCACTGTCACCACAGAACACTCTTTGCTATGTGGAATCAATACACAGCATCCCTGGGGTAAACAGATTTACAAGTGGAACTCTGGAAAAGCTAAGGAGGCCAGGGCATCACACCAAGGGCTTGACAAGTGACATTTTATTAGGAATATGCTGTATGTCAGTAGCACCCAAACTTTGCGTAATGTCACTGATTGCATTGACAACATGCCAGGAGACGAAAGGCTGCACTTATTTGCATTAATAGTAGCAAACTGCATTCAACTTTATCTTTAATACAGAAGCATGGCCCAAGAGTAGGTCCCAGCAACTGAGGTGCCTTCTTGATCCACATAGAAGCTATTTGAAACCATTTATAAGAAATGCCATCATGGTGGGCCACTGACAAAATAAAGCCAAGATTGAAATGTTCTGAATACAAGCTTTTAAAAAACCTACCATCTCCATACATATTTCTGGAATAAAAAAAAAAATCCCGTGAAGAGATGTTTTCAAATAGATAAACATTCCTCACCTGAAATCATTTTCACTGTCTAAACTGAGAGAAATGCAAAAGGTAATCAAAGAACATAAGTAGAGACAACAAAACTGGCTTTTAAAACGTCTTTTATTTATAACAATCCAAAGTGTTATTATCATTAGTAAGTCAGTTCTTTGTTTATAATTTAGGATTTGTATGTTGAAAGTGTCCCTTAAAAGATGAGAGCAACTGCAGGCCGATGTAGGTAGAATCCATGGGTTGTATTTGGTCCACTTCAGCACTGAAACTATCAGAAGTGGAACACTGAAACAATCAGAAGTGGAATCTGTGAATAGTGTAAGGCTATGCTTCCATAAGCAAAATGATCTAAGGAAGAAAATTTCAATAGTATTTCAATAATTCAGTAAATGCAATAAGCTTATCAAACATTCATCAAATAACATAAAACAAAGACATTTGCAGAACCAAAAAGCAATTTCATTATCTTGTATCTGAAGCCATCTCCTCCTCTGAGGAAGGTGCTCCTTCCTAATACCTCCAGAAGCAATGGATTTGGAGAAAGAAATAGATCCCCAAATCTCTCACATAAGAGTAAGAATAAAGTAAGAGAGGAGAGGCTACCTCTCTAGCCTTGGTCCCAATCTCTCACAAGAGATGGGGAAGAAGATCACCTCCTATTTTGATGTTTTTAAATAATATCCTCTTACACAGTATGGCCGAATTCTTAAAAAAAACCCAAAAAACGTACACACTAGCCTGTTTGCAGGATTGGGGCCTATGTCGGTATTTATGAAACCAAACATAAAAATTCATGCATAACCACAAAAATGAAAGCCAATATATCAGAAATAAATTCTGCTGCCTGATGTCTGCAATAAATAAATGGACAAAAAGTTTTAAAAATTAAACAAAATCTCCACTTTAGTTAAAATTAAATCTCAAGGACATTTATATCAGTTAGAATGTGTAATTTATCCATTTGAAATTTACCTAGTGCTTTTATTTGAATGTTTTTCTATTCATATTACACTGATGTTGAAATGCCAATTTACTGTAAAATAGGTCCACCAACTATACCCAAGACAAGGTTCTCACCAATACCAATTCCCTGAGCCACTCAGTTCCCAGTAACATTAGGCCAATTTTTACTGTCAATTACAGCTGTGCAATCTCATTGACTTCAATAAAGATGTATAGATCTATTATTTTTAATTCAGCTACTCTGGAAAAGCTTTGATGGATAGTTTGATAGTTGGGTGATAAAAAGCACATGAACTGCTAGTATTCATTCATACCTATATACAAAATACATAAATGCCAGCATAGCTTTTAAAAATGCACATTTTTGTGTCACAAAGTCTGCATATTTGTCTTCTGATTTACAGGGATAACTTGGCATTCAAATAGTTTGCATGCTGGGATACAGACAGTTTTCAGGTCTGCACATACATTTAAATGTGGGGGGGAGGGAAATTCATGACATGAGTTAAGATTAGGGGGTTTTTTAATCAGAAAAGAGCCCTTGTAGAAATCCCATAACATTTACACAAGACGATATACATATATTACAGATAATTGTGCAAATTGCTCAGAATCCAAGGGTAGTCAGAAAACGTTATCCACATGAGCAAGAAAGAACAACAGAACTGGCATAGACAGAATCAACCTCCAAACAATATATTCTGTTGTTTTGAATGTACCTACAGGGAAAACAGTTAATGCTGGAAAACGTTTCCTTGGATTGTCATTTAAGACTATTCAGAAGAAAATACTCGTACAGCCTTTAGGATACATGAGACCACACCTGCTGACAGCAAAGCTGTCTACTTAGGCAACAGCTATGTCCATTGCGGAAAGGCAAAATAAAAATAACTGCAGAAGAACTCATATAAATAAGGCAAGTTATCTATGCCTCCCATGCACCAGAACATCCTATCTTCTCTGCAGGCCTCTTCCTCCTGCTGGTGCTGAACAGTCTGTGGGAATTACTTTAGAACTGTTCCAGGACTGGAGTAACTTCCATGTGTGTTCCCCCTGAAGCCTTGACAGATGTTCCCTTATCTGGGTGTCTTCTTTTATAAGTAGGAAGAAAGAAAGAAAGAAAGAAAGAAAGAAAGAAAGAAAGAAAGAAAGAAGAGTACTTGTGGCACCTTAGAGACTAAGAAATTTATTTGAGCATAAGCTTTCGTGAGCTACAGCTCACTTCATCGGATGCAGAAATAAAGAAAGAAATAAAGCCCGGAGTTTTGAGAACAGGAAGCTGTAGTGCACTCTTCCATCTCCATTGTTAAAGAAGGGCTCCTGTCTCTAGTGCAGAGGCTTATTGGAACTCCTAAACCCCAGTTGTCCAAATGGTATGTGTGAGTGGGGTCAGTCACTAAAGAGAAGCTTTTAGATTGAAAAGGGGCTCCCTTCTCTCCAATGTGGGGTTCAGAGGTGCAAACTTCAGCCTAGGAGACTCCTTTTATTTTCCTGAGGCCTGGTCTACACTAGAAAATTAAGTCAGAAAAAATCCACACCCCTGAGCAGCAAAGTTAAGCCGATCTAAACCCAAGTGTAGGCAGTTTAGGTTCATGGAACAATTCTTCCGTCGATCTAGCTACCGCCTCATGGGGAGGTGGATTAAGTATGCCGATGGGAGAATCCTTTCTGTCAATGTAGGTAGTGTCTACACTGAAGTGCTACAGCAGTGCTGCAGCAGAACAGCTAAGCCACTGTAGTGTTTTAAGTGTAGATACACTCTGAGTCAATGAAAGAAAAACTTGCTCCTCTCCTCCAACCCAAAGTGAGGATGTCAGTTGAATCACTTGTTTCTCAGCTTCCCCTCAATGTCATTCCTATGAGAACACATTGCAATCAGGGTGACATGAATCTGAGACTCCTACCAGATAAGAAATTGCTGGATAACGATGAAATCAAAAGATGCATTCTGTATTATATAGTGTCCATTGAATGGACATGATATTGAGGTCTGATGGTGTCTGAAAGAACATGCAGACAATCTCTCTGTCTCTGTGGAAGTAGGTGGTAATGCTGTTTTGTTGTTGACATAGGTTAGCATGTTAATGTCCTTGCCCATAGGTAGATCTCTCTAATGGGAATATTATCTCAGACTAATTGAAATATATTAAATGAGCCCACCCATATATGATAGATGCGCACAAATACACTAACCTCGTCGTTCGGGTATTTGTATAGTCCATCTGGTACTGTGAAAACCTCTGGGTCATGCCCAGGGATAATGAAAGTTGACACACAATTATACTGATTATGGACATTCATGAGTAACTAAACTCTACACGTCAGGGCACCAGCCCTCGTCATGCAGCATTGACACA